CCCCCCACGGTGCATGCACACCCAGCACACGCTGCATGCACAGTCAGGAGGCGCATGCATGCTCAGCCCTGCCACCTGCCAGCTGCTCTTGCTTTATTGGGTTTAATTCTTTAAGTCACTTTATTTTAATTCTGATCACTCATTGAACATACGTCCCTTGTCAAAACATCCAAAAGGTGCAGGAAGAAAGGCAGGCTCTTCCTTTAGAGCCTGAAGCCCTAGCGGCGCAGTGCCTTGGCAGCCGGAGCCTCGTGGCTCCCATCAGGAATTCTGATGCCGAGGGCAACCCCCGTGAGTGTCCCCTCTGGCTCACCCTTCACAGGAGCATGTGATGGGAAAGTCAGCGGGTGTGGGAAATTCGGCTGGAAGGTCAAAGTCTCACGGTAAGGGGCCGGGCCGCTGACATTGGAGTGTGCTCCCCTTGGCTTGAGGCCAGGGGCCTGAGCACGTTTGAGGAAGCCCCCCACCACTTACTGAAGTAGAAGCCGCGGTCCCCACAGACGAACTGGAGGGTGTCCACCAGCTCCCCGCCACACAAGGTCTCCCTGGGGCGGTAAGCAGCAATGCAGCACGAGGCGAAGGCCAAGAAGGTGAGAAGCACCAGCATCGACTTCCCCATTGGGAATCCCATTGGTACCTGTGGGCGGGAGAGAGGCGGCATGAGCAGGGCAGCTGGGCCAAGCCCTAGGCCAGGGGCGCCCCTCCCGAACCAGGGACACTCAGCCAACCTAGAAATTCAATTGAACATTTAAAGCATTTAAAGGATTTCCTAGAAACATTATTTTTATTACAAAAGTAACACATAGGCCATGACGCTGAGGTGAGGGCACGGGCCACGTGGAGGGCGGTGCGTGTGGAAGCACACGGGAAGGCCGCCTTGCTTTGATTTGCAAGAAGCTCTAGTAATTTGATGACAGGGGTGACCATCTCCATGGTCATTATTGCAGGGGCTCAGCGGCATCCACAGCTGTAGGGGCCAAGCTGGACCCCGGACCTGGCCTCTGTGCTATGACACCACAGGGGCAGGGCCAGCCAGGGGCACATCACCACTTCTCAGGCCTTAGCCCCAGCCCCTACAGAGCCTGTGCCTCCAGGAGGACCAGTCCGCTTCCCCCCCCCCCCCCCCCGCCCCCCAGCTGAACAGGGGTGTCCAGGAGGACCATCCCCCTCAACACAGCAGGCCCCACCCCCTCCCTGGTTTTGCCACCTTTCCAGTCTGCAGCTGAGCCAGACCTGGGTCAAGGACTCCAATGCTTAGCACTACCCCGACACCCATGCTCCTAGGGATCTTGTTTTCCCAGTCACCCAGTTCTCAAACTCCAGTCTGCCTGAGGCACCCCAAACACACACGCAAGCCCAGAGCCTCCCTTCCAGACCTCAAGTTGAAGCACTGAGGCCAGGGACCTCCAGAAAATCTCCCCATTTGTGCTACCAAACTCTCCTGGCGGGAGCTGGAGAGACCAGCTCAGACCACCTGGGACATCAGACCCCAGGATCCCCGACTGCAATCTGGAAGGAGAGGCCGATCTTCAGACACACCCCCTCCACAGGCTGCAGGGCTGCAGGGGTAAACCACCTCGGGGTGGGAGGCCGGGGTCACTACAGCAGGCCGCTCCTGCCCCCTCAGGGCTGCAGCCCCAGCCTTCCCTCCACAGACCCAGGAGACTTTCTGATGCAATAAATTGTGGGGCCGAAGCATCGCTTTGCGTGGCCTCTCTATAGAGCAGTGGGCGGCCCTGCCGAGGGTCTGAAAGCCTCCTCGATCATCTCCTTGACTGGGCCCCAGCCAGTCCCTTCGCCGCCCCCTCTGCCACCCGCTTTCAAATTCCAAGAGCACACCCCACCGGCTGGCCACGCGAGCCCTCGCTTCGATTCCGGAGCCAACCCCACCACTCTGAACCTGGAGGTCTGGCTCAGGGTGCGGGCTCAGAAAAGCGGGACTGGGACGGGAAGCCCGCGGAGATGCGGAGCAGGTGAGGACCCAGGAAAAGCCCCGCGCTGGACGGGGGAGGGGGCCGAAGGGAAGGAAGAAACGGAAGGAGCAGGTGAGGAAGCAGAGGCCAGGTAGGGGCAGGGGCAGAGGCAGAGAAAGGAAGGGTGGTGCTGTTGGAGAGGCAGCAGGCGGGCGGGCGTGCGGGCGGCTGCAGGGCCCGAGCCCCAGACGTGGGCCGTGCCCCCTGCTGCCCTGTCTCAGGCTGGAGTGGGATGGCAGCGGGGGTCCTCACTCCACAGCCCTGGTTACCTACAGCTCAGCAGGAGGCTCGCTGGGGCTGGAGGAGGAGAAGGAAGAGAAGGAGGAGGAGGCTGGAAGAGTCTCTCTCACAGGAGAAGCCAATGTCCAGTCTGCAGGCTGGTCAGTGCCTCGGCTTTTATCCCTGAGCCGGGCTCCGCCCAGCCCGGGCTCCACCCTGCCCCCCACCCCTCTCCCTGCTGACCACTCCCCCGCGGCTTTGCTCCCGCCCCCTCCCTCCTCCCAACCAGTCTCTTCTCTCCTGCACCCCCCACCCCCGAGCTCTGGACCATCCCTTCGCAAAGTGCCACTGGCTCCCCATCCTGCACCCCCAGCCCCGTTCTGCACGGGGGGGGGGGTCTTCCCACCTCCTTGTATGGAAACTTCCACGCTGCCCACTGGGCAGGAGCCTCTCTGGCTTGAAGTCTCTGCCCTTCTTGGCCCCAGACCAGCAGCCCCTCTCCCCCTCTCCCCCTCTCCCGGGACTCCGTTTTGGAAACGTTGCGGACAGAGCAAGAGGGGGTGTGGGGGGAGATATCGCGAATGTGGCGTCTCCTGCCAGCTCTGCCCCTCTCCATCCCGGCCCCGCCCACCCCGTCTTCCTCTCGCGGTCTTGCTGGCACCGCGTCAACATACCAGGGTGGGCTTCTGCGCCTCCGCGCCCCTCCTCATTACCCAGCACCCCAGAGGGAGGCCAGGGCCCGCCAGGCACGAATCACACATGTTCGGCTGCACCCCCGACACCCACAGACTGACCAGGAAGTGGCCCTTGCAGACAGTGCACACCTCCCTCGGCCCCTCCCGACACCCCCACCCCACCCCAGCCCCGCCGCCAGGGTGAGCGCGCAGGGAACTCCGCTCAGGGAATGGCCCCGAAGCTGCCTGTCCTCCTCCTCCTCCTCCCCCCTCCACAACCCCGGGCTCAGCCGCCCCACCAAACCCCGCAGGCCCGGGCCGCGAGCAGGCGGAGGAAGGGCCAGGCGTCCGGCGCAGCCCGCGCCGCCCCGGCCCCAGCCCCGGCCCGCGCGCCGCTTACCTGGAAGCCGGCGACAATGCCGCCCACCTCCCTGCTGCGTGTCGCAAACCGAACAGCGGGCGTTGGCCCTCCTGCCGGACACTCCTCTGCCAGCGCCGCTCTGGCCGAGTCGCGGAGGCCGAATGTGCGACGGGGCAGAGCGGGGGGATGGCTTTTTTTGGGGGGGAGGAATTCGTCTGATCGTCTAGGGAGGACGGGCTGTCTTCGGGCTGGGGCGGGCCAGATGTTGTACTTTTAGGGGGGGAAAAGGTATCGGGAAATGAGGTCAGCTGTTGTATCAAGGATAGAGGGGGGCAGAGATAGTGGGAGAGACAGAGTGAACGTGAAAAGGGGGGGGCCGAAGACAGGGCGAGAGGGAGAGAGGACAGCGAGAGGCGGGCAGGCTCACAGCGGGAGAGAACAGCACGGAGAGAAACAGAAAGCGTGTAATTAATCCACTTTGGTTCTGCGAAGGCGACAGGGCGGGCGTGAGGCGGGGAGGGAGTCTGAGGCTGGGAGCTGGGGGGGACGGGAGGGAGCGAAGGGAAGATTGCGGGAGAAAGAGCGGGGCCGGGGCCAGATGCCAAGAGGGGCGCGGGGAGCACAGAGAAGCCAAGGGAAGGGCGCCACGTCTAGGGGCCGGGGGCGGAGGTGACTGCGGGGCGGAGTGGAGGCTGCACCCGGGCCGCGGGCACCCAGCTCGGTTTGGGGCGACGGAGCCCTCAGCCGTCGCAAGCCCGGGCCTCGGGGGGAGACAGGCGGTGGCGGCGCCGGGGCCGCTCGGGACGCAGCGTAGAAGGGGAGCGGCCCGAGGCTGCGCGCCGGGGGGAGGGCTGGGGGGGGGGCGCGGGGGGGGGCAACGGCCGGCGGCCTGCGAGCCGGACTGCCTGCGGGGGGAACCGCCTCCTCGGGCGAAGCGGGGATGGGGGGTTGAGGTAGATAAAGAGGAGGCGGCGGGGAATCCGCAGGCCCGGCGGAGCGCGACCCCGCGGACGGCGCCCGGGACGGGAGTCAGCAGCGAGGCAGCGGGCGACGTCGACGCGGGGCCGCCTGCCCGGTGGAGGCGCTGGTGGGCCGAGCGCGGGGCGGGCGTGGGCCGGGAGGCGGGGGCGGCCGGAAGGGGGGGCCGGGGCCAACCGGGCCTCACGCAGCTCCGCCGGAGAGCAGGCGAACTGCGGGCGCCCACGCCCGGCTCTTATAGTCGCGCCAGCCCGCGGCCCAGCGCCCGCGCGAGCCCCGCTGGCCTTGCGCCCGCGCCAATGGGCGCCCGCGGAGCCCTCGCCCCGCCTTTGGCCCGCCCCCGCAACCCGAGCCAAGCGCGGGGCGGGGGGGTATGGGCCGGGGGCTCTGGGGCCCCCCGGGGGGGCGGCGGGGGCGGGGGCGGGGGGGCGCGGGGGGGAAGATGGGTGGGGGGCAGGGAGTCGCCGAGCACGAAGGCCATGCTGAATGCCCGTTCTAGAGAATTCGGGGGCCCCATCTCGGGTTTCTAGGGTGCCCGGGTGGCCTGTGCTCGTGAGCTAGGGTCTCCGGGCAGGCAGGCGCAGGCCGGCTCCCAACGCCCCGCCAGGAGACTACACCGCCAGTGCGCCGCGTCTGACTGCAGAGGCAGGTGGTTAGGGGCTGGGTCGGGGGTCCCTGCTGGTTGCGGCCGCGGAGGGAGCCCCTGGGCTCGGGCGGAGCGCGCATCCGCCACCTGCCCCAGCAGGAGGAGCCGGCCACGCGGCGCCTAAAGCCTCAGCCAGATCCCGAGCGCCCCCCGGTGCCGCGCCGGAGCCCCGGAGCCCCGGCCAGGTGCGGGACACCGGCAAGGCCAACTGGGCTGGGCCGAATCTGGGCCAGGCTTGGAGCCCGCCTAGGCTGCGAGGCTGCGGCCGCCAGAGGAGAGAGATTAGAGCGGGAAACACAGATCAAATCCTACCTGCATGGCCGAGCTCACCGGGTTGCGTCTAAGCAGCTCGCCTCTGGGGCCCACCCAAAATATCCGGATAATGGTTACCCCGTCCTCAGAACGTTGGACTGGCATAGACGCGAGTTCAGTCTCGGGGGCCACCGCGATAATTTGGGGGTCTGGGGAGACCATCTCCTGGAGAGTTTGGACGATGTAAGAAAGCACTGTGATTTTTACCAAGTCAAAACCACGCACCAAATCCCGCACCCCGCCGCCTAAGCCTGGCCAAGGGGAAGGGGCCGCCAGCGGAAACTCGCGCCCCCCAGCCCCCATCGCCCCCCTCGCTCCGCCATCAATCACTTCGCCCGCGTTCCGCGCGCGCCTCCCGGCGGAGTCCTAGGCCCGCGGGCTACAGGCACTTTGCTGCCCGGCGGGAGCGCCTCTCCTCCGCGTCCCTAGCCCCAGCGCCCCGCCCGCCCCACTTTGGGCCCCTCCAGCAGCTTTCCCCACAAGTGTGATCTTTGCAATGAGCAAACAAAAGTGGTGCGGATTTCGGGGCGCCCAGCCGGAGCCAGCGGGCCGCCAAGCCGCAAGTCCGCAGCCCGGTTCCGCGCCCCGTGCCGGCCTCCCAGGCGGCAGCCCGAGAGAGCGCCAGCCTCGGCGGGAAGGCAGCGGATGAGGGCGGGAGCCAGGCAGGGGCGCAGAGGCGGCGGGGACCGGCGCGGCGGGGAGCTCACCGCGAAGCTGGAGGCTGAGTCCGCGGGCGCACCAGGAGCCCAGGCAGCGGGCGATCGAACGCTCTGTGGCGGGCGGTGGACGGTGCTGAAGGTGAGCGAGACCCCGGGGCCAGTCCTCGGTGTCTGCGAGCAACGCCCAGTCCGTTGGAAGACCAGGAGACAATGCCCAAATTTGGGGGAGACTGGGGGCAATGCCCGGTCGCTTTCCTGGACACGGGGAAGCCCTGCCCACGTCCTGGGGGCGCGCGGCCGACCCACGTGTGTTTGGGGAACACGAGAGAAATTTCCCAAGTCCGAGTTGCTCTGGGGACTTGGTAGGAGACAGGCCCGAAACCAGTGCCCGCTGTGCGCGGGGTTGGGGAAGCTGTAGTGGGCGGCCGGCGAGCCGGGAACAATGCCCAAATTTTGGGAAACGCAACTCTGCCTTGGGGGCTTAGCGAATGGGTGTCCTGGAGGAGGGGAACCCAGGGACTCCGCTAATTTGAGACCCGTGATTAATGACTAAACCTGAGACTCCAAAAAATAGATGACAGGTTTGGGGGATGAGGGAAATTGCTCCATGCATTGGGAGCATCGAGAGAGGGGTCTAAAATAAGGACCAGCTAGCTTGGAGGACCCACGAAATCCCAGACCGATTTGTGAGGAGAGGTTAGTTAAAGAAAATTCTCCATATGCAGTTGGTAGGGGTTGCCTAAGAAGCACATTGCCTGAAATTGGCAGATGAAAGCAAGGGACACATTTTGGGGATCCAAACACATTCTTGGTGTGTTAGGGTGAAGCTGAGATTAATTTTCACATGTTAAGAATAAAAGTTAGTGGCCTGGACGCTTGCAGCATCCGGGTGAAAATAACCTTCATAATTACCGTGGCTTCAGGGAAAGGTTTTAATATCCTTCAGAGACGGAGGAAGCACTGTCTAAATTTTGGGGGAACCTGGAGTGTAATCAGTACATTTGGGGCAAGCAAAAAAAAATCAGTATTCTTTTTCTATGTTAATTTTTAAGTGATTTCCATAGTTTGTTTTTGGTAAACAAGAAAAATGCTGTATGTTTTCCTGGACAGTGTCTGCATTTGGGGAAGCCCAGTGAAATACGTTTCAAGCTTTTGGGACCCATGGAAATTACCCAGTGGAGATTTGATATCTAAATTTCCGGGAACCGGGTTAGTAGTTAGGAACATTCTTAAATGTGCTTTGGGGGGGTCCATGGAACATTTTCTAAATTTAGGGGGACCCAGGGTAGGGACCATAAAGTAAGGAAACTCATAAATCAGTGTCCAAAAAAAAAAAAAAAAAAAGCAAAAAGAAATAAACAACAAACAAAAACAAAACAAAACAAAAAAAACCTCAATTGTTTTGTGAAGGAAAAAAAATCTCAATTTGTTTTGGAAGGCTGGGAGACAATACCTCAATTTGGGTGCTCCAGGAAAATTGTTTTTGAATCTAAAGATCTAGAAAAGTTGCTCAGAGTCCTTGGAGACTTGGGGGGTCAATATGTACATTTTAGAGAAAGGGGATTCAGAGTTTCTAGGCGTTAGGACTTAGGAATTTTCAGATTTTGTGATAGACAGGGAGGGTGTAGTGTATTTGAAGGAAATATTGCTTAACTTTGAGATGACTCAGTGGGTTGTTTGGAGCTCAAGAAACCAGTGCCTTCCTGTGATCCAAGGGCAACACTGAATGTTTCTGGAGGGCCTCAGGGCAGTGCCCAGCACATCCAAGTGTGGGGCACCAGGAAAAGGGTCCAGTGTGATCCTGGCCGTGTGGTTTCCGACCAGTGCCTGAATTTTAGAAAACTGAGATTCTTGTCATGAAGCTCCTAGGACCCAGAGAATTGTTTAATAGTCAACATGTTGTGATGCAGAGAAAATGCTCAGAGTGTTTGGGAACTGAGGCCATTAGCAACACCAGGCGTCACACAAATTAAAAAAGCCTCTGTCCAAGGAAGGGGTCCTTTTGTGCTTGGTGTAGCCCAGCGGGAGCCAGGAGACTCCCCGGTGTGATTTGGGGGGACCTGGAGAATCCTAGGTCACACTTGAGCACCTCCTGCTAACTGCCCAGTGTGCTCCAGGGACCTGGGTGGCAGTGTCTACATCTTAAGGGACCTGATTCATGGCCAGGAACCGTGTATAGCGTAGAGGTTAACGCTCCAAAGCTTTGCGACTCGCCCTCGCACATTCTGAATAGGTTTTGGGATCACTGAGGAAAGCTCTCCATTTTATGAAACTCAGGCAATCAGAGCCCAGGTCATTTGTGATTCAGAAAAGGATTCAGTGGGCTCTGGGTGTAATGCCTGGACTTAGGGGAAAGCACGGGGAGCGATTTTTATACTCTGAGGGTTCTGGCCTTCCAGCCCTGCTCAGTGGCATGGGGGACTTGGGATTCAACGTGTAAAATTTAGGGAACCCAGGTCAGTGTGAATAGATTTTCGGAACTCGGAAGACGCAAATGTGGCATGCTGAGGTGAACGGAAAGGGGGATGCGGAATGAGGTGGAAATGTGGGGGAGACAGTAAGCTCAGGAGACCTGGAGTTAATATTCAGAATTATGGGGGGAAGTTCCACTCGTTTGGGAACAATGCGTAAGCGTGGAAAAGGCACTATCCACATTCTGGGGAGCCAGGCAAATTGGTCCGCGTGAGCGCCACAGACCAAGGGTTTCCTCTTTAAAATTAGGGAACTCGGGTTGCCGGTGTGTAAATCCGTGCGATCAGGAGGGAGTGTGTGAAACTGTCCAGAGCCTGGGGGAAAGCAAATCTGAGGCCACAGGCCGCATAGTGTAGTCTGGAAAAGCCAGCCGGGCTGATGTGTTTTGACGTCCCCGGAAATTAATGTCCAAGAAAATTCTTGTGACCCGCGGAAATGCTGAATATATCTGGAAGACCTGGGAAGCAATGCTTAAGTTTAGAGGATCCCAGAAAAAGTAAAATGCCCCAGTTCGGGGGAAGCAGGGAAGCTGTTCCGTGGACCGGGACCCCGAGGATCAAGGGCTAATCGTTGAGCTCAAGCTTCCCGGGCGGCGGAAGGAAGGCGCGGCCGGGGAGCCACCCTTGCTGGGGCGCGCGGAGCACTGGCGCCCTCCCCGGGGAACGCAAGCGCGGGCGGCGCGGGCGGCGCGGGCAGGTAGCGCGGAACGCCCTGGCGCGCGCGGCCGTCTGAAATTCTGCTTTTAATTCTTCTGGGTTTTTTCTTTCTTTTTCTTTTTTTCTTTGCCTTCTCTACACGGAGAGCGACTTTGTGGCGGCAGCCCGAGCCTAGCGGGCGTCTGGGTGGAGAGGAGAAACCCAAGAGCCGCGAGGGAGGCCCGGACACTGCTCCCAGGGCCCTCCCGGGACTCCCAGCTCCCCGCTCGGTCCCCGCCGGGGAGGTCCGCAGGCTCCCCCTTGCCGCTGCGCCCCACGCGCCTCCGAGCTGCGAGCCTAGGCGAAGCCGCGGCCGAGCCGCCACCGGGGGCAGGCGAGTCCCGGGCTTGGCTTGGGGGCCCGGAGCACCCCCGGCGGCCACCCCCGGACCGCCCTGGAGCTTTGCGCGCACCGTTCGGACCTTCGCCAGCACCAAACAAGGGTGAACGCAGTTTTGTTTGGGTAACACAGAAGAGGAGAGGAAGTGGGGAAGAAAGGAGAAACACGCAGGGAAGAATGGGGTGCAGGGCTGCACGCCACGCCCCGGGGGTGCCAGGGGTCTCTTTTCGTTCTCTCCAAGCGAGTTTTCAGGAAAAGCCTGTCTACCCAGGCTGGGGAAAGTCCACTTTCTTAAAGGCAAATATTAAACCCGCATGCAGGCGCCCAGCGGCCCTGTCGGCAGGAACAAGGTCACCTCTTGCCGTTGGGCAATGTCGGGCCTTGGGGCAGTGGCCGGGGGGTGGCTGCCAGAGAGGGGGCGCCGCTGGGGACCAGCAGAATGGTGGAGGATCCTGGGCAGGTACAGCGGGGCATTGCATGTCCCCGCTGTCACCCCATAGAAGGATTCCACTAGAAGGGGGACATCTCAAAGCCAGACACTGGGGAGGCGGAAGTTAATGGCCCTAGACAGTGTGGGGACGTGGGCAGGGTCAGGCACCTCTTTCACATGAGCTTGGCAAGACAGGGAGAGGCCCCACCCCACCATGAAAAACAGCCCATTTTCCACCCAGAGCACAAGACACATGGGAACGTCCCCCTTCAAATTCCACTCTGCATCCATCACCCCCGTGTCCCATTCCAAGAACATCTGGCCCCGCTCCCCCGCTCTCTGGCCTCTCAGGCTGTGCCGGTAGCTATGGCTGGCGGGGGAGCCTCCAGCAGAGATTCCCGGGTGTGTTGGGGTTTCCCTCTCCAGGGTGACTTGTGAAGAATTTGGGGGTGAGGAGCCTTTGAAAAACGCCTGTCTGTGAACCCCATCTCTGGGAGGACAGTCTAGGTCACCAAGGCTCTCTGTCAGGGACAAACCCAGGGCTCCCAAGGCCAGCCTGGGGCTCCCCTCCTCTTCCCCTCTAGGCCTGCTTCCCAGGCTGGGGACAGGTGGGGCACTGTGGGAGAGCCCCTGTTCTGAGTTGTGGGCTCTCTCCCTCTTGGGGGTACCTGGGGACAATTAATCAGTGACCCATTTGGGGCTCCCTTCCCCTTGTTCTGTCTGCCCCCAAGGAGCCGCCACTCATGCTTGGACTTTCTGAGGTAGGAAGAAGGCTGAGGTGACCTTGGGGTGCCTACAGAGAGTTTGGTGGCCCTGTAGAGAGAGAGGGACAGGTGGGGGAGTGTGGGGGGGCCTGCATGCCTCCCCTCCCCCGTGGGGCTGCCTGCTGAGTGCTCTCCTTATTTAGTCAAAAGTTTGACCACGGCAGGCTGGAGGCTGGGGCAGATCCAGGTCACCCTGGGGCTCAAAAAGCACACCGCCTGCGCCTGGCCAAGACCAGCGCCCAGTTCTTCCCCAAGGCCTGCTTCTTCCCTCTTGCTTCCTGTCCCCCAAGGTAGGAAGGGTCCTGCCAGCAATCCAAGGGTGTTTTGAGGGGGCCGGGGTCTCCTCCCGCCCAGAGCGTGGCCAGCAGGAAGCCCCAGTCAGCACCCTCCCAGGCCCTGGCCCACTGCCTCACCAGGGCAGTGCTGGTCTCCTCTCTGCTGGCAAACCCAAGTTCCACAGAGAATGAACATCCTCTCGAGAACTCAGGCTCACCCCGCAGAGCCTGGCCTGTGACGCCCGGCATCCCCTCGCCGGCCGGCTCTGCAGTGGGCCTTTCTCATTCCGTGTCCTCCCGGCTCTGAGCTAACCGCTTCCCCGTCCCTGGGACGGAGCCCAGCATTTTACACACCCAGTTCCTTTCTCCAAGGGTCCCCAGAGCGCCCCTCCCTCACCCCTGCAGGGCGACGAAGACGAGGAGCTGACTTGCCCGGACCC